GCTTCGGGCCAAGGTCCAGCCTCTGGCTGCATTGCTCCCGGTTCGGCCGGGGTTTCGGCCATCTCCCCCTCCTCCCAGCCCCCAAAGTCGCTAGCTGCCTCCCCCAGCTCCGTGGTCCATCCACCCTGCTGGCACAGGGCCACGAGACAGGCCCGCCTGTCTCCCAGCCTCCGTCTCCAAGCAGATGGAAGACATCAGCTCCCTGCTGCATCCCCCCGCGATAATCTGTCTCGCCCGCTTCCTTTCGGGGACACCCCTTCTCACGGCCAGCTAATCCCCAGTGCTCGCCTGTCCCTTTCCAGACCCCCGCCCTCACCAGAGAGCCCTGTCGCACATGTTTTCTGGGTAAGCATCTCCCCAAAGGCCATCTCTCTCTACCCATGCAGGATGCCCTAAAAAAAGACTCCTCTCCCCCAACTCCTGTGGAAGCATGTCTGGGCACGACGTCCCCGCCATCACCAGGGGAATAAGGCACTCTCTCGGGAGCTTCATTTGACGCAAACCACATATCCAAACACATGGGAACAGACACTAACCCAGGGACCCAGTCAGAGCTGACCAGGGAGGCACCTTTGTAATGGGACAAGAAGACCCTGGAGGACTCTGTCTCTGGCTTCCCCTTCCTTCTGCAGCGGGTGGCAGCTCCCCCAGAGGCTGCACAGGAGATGACAGAATTCCTCCTAAGCACCATCTCACACTAAGAAAATTCCCCGTTTACCATATATAAATCATGTTAATGTCAGAATAATAAACATAAATAGGGAGCAAGGGAGAGAATGACCTTCTGGCAGCAGCTGAAGTAGGTGGTGTTTTGGGGGTTTTTCCCTCCTTTGAGGGAATTGTCCCACCAGCCTCCAGCCATCCTTCAAGAAAAAGACCTGCAAGAATTGCTGCCCACAGAGAAAAATCACATCTGGTTTCCTAGCAGGACAGATGCACAAGGAAAAGCCTCCCATTTGGGAAGACCGCAGTTTCAGGCGGATCCGAAAGAAGGATGCTGCAAGCCAGAGTCCAGGAAACCCAGCAGCCGCTCCCAGGACACCACTGCCTCGCTGCTCAGAAGGCTCTGGCACATCTGGAGCAGAGCAGGGGCCAGCCTGGAAGTTGAGAACAAGCAGATACCATCCCCTGCACCAAAACAAAAGAGAGGACCCAGAATACAGGGCACACTCGGAGGAAAAGAGAGAGAGCCTGGAGAAACTACATCAGCCTGGGCTGCTGGCAAGGCACCATCCATCTGCTCCTGCCTGTGCGGGCCCTGCCGCCAGACCAGCACCGGGGCCATCAGGGGCTGACCATCCCACAGCCATCATGGGGCCAAATTCCATGGGATGGGTGGGAGCAGGCTAAGGGCTCATCCACGAGCCAGGCCCTTTCCCCCCAGAGAGATGCTGCTACAGGCAGCGCCTGGAATTTGCCAAGCACAGATCTGTCACCGTGGGTCGGGATTTCTGCCGAGGCCACGTTCCTCGTTAGGGAAGGATGAGTAAAAACTGCAGGAGACGCTCTATGGGATATGCTTAGCTTAGCTGTCTGCATATCTGCTTATTAAGCTCTGAGGTTAAGGATTTAGTTCCACATATCAGTTTACTTAGAAATAAAGCATCCCTTCACATTTTAATCTCAAGTATGCTGCATTGTCTTGCCCGCTTCCTCTCATGCCCTCTCCCCACGACCTCTTCCCCAGTGAAACGCTGGAAAGTTATTAGCAAATATTCTGTGAAATATTTAATATCCAAACAGCGGGGTCTGTGCATCCCATGAGAGACTCATAGCCCTTATGGTCAGGACAAGAAAAACAAGGATTGTTTGAAGGCCCCCAGGTCCTACTGGGAGACGCTTCAAGGCTGGAGTTGTTGCCAAGCAAAAACCTCACAGTAAAGCAGCCCTTTAGATGAGTTAAAAACCAGGCTAGCTGGAACCGAGGTATTGCAGCTTGGGATGGACCTTGCTTCCACCGTGCCCACAGCCTTTGCACAGAAACTAAATACCCCATGCAAGTGACATTCAAAAGTACATTTTTCAGCCTTACGTTAGTGGAAGCCATCTTCCTCTTCCGTTCTCAAAAGGAGTTACACTGCAGAAGTATGAGCTCCTCCTGTCTGCAGGAAGGGCATGACAGACATGTCAACTGGCTTATGATTTGTTTATAAAAAACCTATTAAAGTATTTGTTTATGTATTTATCGGGGTTGGGAGACTTTCAAAGGTTGTGGAAGGTTTTCTAAAGGAAGAATGCAAAGCTGTTAAGTGGCATAAACACTTTCCCTAAAAATGCATAAAAGCATACACCCTTTTTCTATTTATTTGAAATACTTTAGCCTGCAACTGGGACAAGCTTTGAAAAAGCTAAAGAACACACCTAAACTGGGCTGTGAAGATTTATCTGCTGACAGCAGGGCACAATGCCGACTTTCCCACCCCTTAGCCGAACTCGGGTAGGTCAGGACCCCGCAGCCTTGCACACGGCTTCCCCGGTGCCAGGATCAGACCTGTGCACCCAGCACTCACTAAAGCCCCTTGACCTTGGACAAAGCCTAGCTAGTCCCACGCCCCTGGCCTGACTCCGCTCCTGAAGCCGGGGCGGGATGAGGGCGAGTGGAGGGCCTGGCCTGCTTGCTGGAGGGTACCGGGGCTGGGCAGCCCTGCCTGGCCTGCCTGCTCCCCACCAGCCCGCTCCAAGCATCGGTGGGCCCATTCACACAGCTCCCCATGGCTATCGGGCTGGCACCACGCATCGACAAAGGGCTGGGAAACCACTCATAGAACAGCGCGCATCCCAAAAAAAAAGAGCCCTGGGAGCATCTCACACTGATCTGGAGGGGAAAAAAAAAGGCCGTGAGCAATGCCCGAGCCATCAGGCCATGCCGTGCCCCTGTGACATGGAGGCAAATCCCACCCGAGGGAGAGAGGCCAGCCACGCTCATCACTGTGACCGGCATGCACTGTTTCTTCACTGTCCTGCTTAGAAAAGTGGCATAAACACCACCTCTGAGCATGGCAAGTTCCTCCTGGAAGTCGACTTGCACTCAGCTAGACTGAAAAGACGGACATCAGCCTAAGAAGCAAGCTGGCTGTGGGCTTAAAGGCAATGCCTGCAGGCTTCAGGAGGGTTCAGAGCAGCAGACCCAACGTCCACTGGCCCGTGGACAACAGCAAGCAAGGAACATGCTGCCAGCAGCAGTTGATTCTGCTCTCCCACTGAACTGGGCAGCACATCAGCTTGGGCCCTTCCAGTTCACAGGGAACTTTTACTAAGGAGGACAGTGCCCTTCCTTATTTAAAGGTCGAGACTGAATGTAACTTTGAGGTATCATCTTACCTGCATTAACTGCAGTAATGGAGTATGAGGGGATCCAGGGCTCACTTTTTCCATGAGCAATGTGGATTCCACAGTGGGGAGCATGGGGCAGATATACCTGCCAGAAATAACTAGGTTAAAGTGTGGTATAGCTCAGCACTGCAATCCTCAGATCTTCACATGGGGGCAACACAGGGCCAAGGTGAGGAGCTTTCCCAGTACAACAGGGAAGGGAGGTGGAAGGACAAGGCACAGCCAGCTATCACTGCCACCGGATCCGTGAGGAACCAGCTCTAGGGCCTGAAACTGGCCAGGCTCCTGCTGCCTGCATCCCCTGCACCCTCTTCCCCAGCAGTGCTGTTTGTACAAGTGCTCTGCCCCGATGCCCCTCTACCTGCCACGAGCACCAAGCTTCTCTGCTCAGCTCCATATGAAGGCAAGCCGTTTGGCTCCTGGGTCACAGCTGTCCCTGAACACAGCAGCATTTGCCCACTATTGCACCTGAGCTTATGAAGCACCGCTGGATGACAGCCAGTCTCACCAACCGACATCACAGATAATGTCTGACGTGGTCCCAAAAAACAGTCCAAAAGGAAGCTTCTTTCTGTGGAGCTTTACTCGGAGAACACAGCTTCCTGAGGTTGGTCAGGTGGAGAGCACAGGCTGCATCTCAAACCTACCCCATTCACCTTTTCTTCCTACCCCTAAGTCCCCATCTCTGGCATACCCTGTTCGACCACACAGCACCAAAGTTGTAGGCCATCATGCTCTTCCAATTCTGATTCCTCCTAAAGACTGTTCTTAGGCAAAGCTGTAGAAAAAAAATCCTTTCATTGAATGTGCGTGAGGCACTAATAGTTCATTATGTATCTCTCCGACTCCATTACATGAGAATCCATTTTGTAGACCCCAGTGTCATTGGGCCAGGGACTGCGCTTTGTCTCTTGCTCCTGGGGAACTGGGAAAGGCAGAAAAAGGGAAAAGATAGCATAAGCAGTACAAAACAAGAAGGATTTTCATGTTCTCACTTTAATGATTAGAGACCAAATTAACATCACCAGAGCAGTAAGAGTGAAGGACCATTTCCCCAACACACTGCAGAAGTTCTGCAAAACAAATCAACCCTAGTCTGGAGAAGAACATGGTATTACAATATTTAAACTAGTTGTTCGTAATTCTTAAACAGGAAGAGAGACTCTTGATGAACCTCAACTTTTTCACATTTCACCATTTCCTAGAAAAGGACCAAGGAACAGCTCCTGTATGAAAGGATATAAGCAGGATTGCCAGAAAATCTTCTTAGCCTTCACACAAAGTTGCGGGCAATGGCCAATACTTTGGAGAACTCTCCTTCTCTCTGTCGCAGGATATAGGGTATTGGTGTTTTTATCCTAGTCCCTATTGGATTTCCATTGTCTTCTATGAGTACCACATTGTTGGAATCAAATCTAGGCGTCATGGGGGGCCCAGGCATCTTGTGCCCTACAATCAAAGCCTTCTTTTTTTCTCCTTTGATAGCCAGAAGGATTGTATCTCCTAGTTTGCCAACTCCGGTCTTGTTATACACGTGGATACATTTTGGTGGCCGGTGGTACGGTGTGTTCCCCAAGGCGCTGTTGTCCACCACTCGCACACGGGTGAGTTTCTGTATTGCTCGGCATGCTCCAGTGGTACTAGCAAAAGACAGGAAAGAATGAGAGACAGATCTCCTCAATAATCCTTGGGGAGCAAGGGCAAACCCAGCACAGGATCTTGTCATTACACAAACCACTCGGAAGGCGCCAGCAACAAATACGTACCATATGGGTGACACACTGACTGCATTCAACATGCTCTTTGAAAGCCAGATGCTACTTTGGGCTTTGCACACTCTTCACTAAATGTCAAACATAAAACGACCGTTCTACTCTGAAACACAACTAAAAGATGGCGTGAAGAGTGGCTTGCATTTACTGGGTTTTTTAGCAACTGCAGATGACTCCGTTCAACTTCAATTTAGAAGCAAAAAAATGTGCTTGCTTCTGCTACAAACAGCCTACAGGAAGCTAAGACTCAAGTCAGGCTCTTTCAATCTTGTACACAGTCCTCAGCAACAAGGACTTTTCTGACTAATCTTTTTCAGTGAAGTCTATGAGGGTCTCCCATCTTATTCTGCTCTCAGTGAGACCTCCGAGGTCCTGCTGTGGCTCTGCTAAGCTGCCACCAACTAGAATCTGACAGATCATCACCTTCCCCATGTGGGAGGAACCAAGAGAGACACAGTCTCTTCTGTACCTGTTTGCTCTGTGGGATTATCAGGAGTAAGAAACAACAGAAATAAACTGCACGATACTAAGTTGCTAGATCCAACTCTGAATGGGCTTGGGAACAGCAGGAATCCCTTTCAAGAGTGGCTATTCTTTTATCCATTAAGCTCAAATTCAAGTGATTTGTTGCTTCTCTTCAAAGGACACCCAAACACAGACAATCGGAAAAGCAGGAAGATCCTTTCTACTGCTAAAGAACTGCTTTGTAGTAAGTACTAGAAACATACTGGCCAAACAGCTGCAGGAATGTCAAGCTGATGTCAGCTGAACTACTCAGATAGACAGCATATGGAATCAGCCTAACTGTTCACCTTGTTTTGCAGAGCAGAAGTGTGTACAGTAAATAAAGACCAATGGGGACCATAAGCACTTCTTGAAAACAAAGGACCCATATTCGCAATGCTGCCTAAAAGAAGAGCAAGCCATCCCTGTGTATCAAACAGTGTGGATGAACATCAGTTGAAGCAGACATTTTCACATGCAGTAAGGGAAGGCCGGCTGGGTCAGTCTGCATTAGACAAACTGCTCCACAGGTCCAGTGCTGAGATTTGTTTCCCAGAGCAGAGGCCTATCCTAGCCTTCCCCTATAAGCAGGCACCTCTCTTCTCTCTCAGAAGCCACTCACCTCTGCTAGCAGCCACCCTCTCCCATCCCCTGGCAGGACAGTGGTACGCCACACTCTGTCCTCCACCTGCCAGCTGTGGCTGCACAGCAGGGAAGACAGAAAGGAGGAAGCTGGAAAGGGACAAGAGTGTTGTCGCAGGAAGGAGAAGGGGAAACCTCGGTGGGACCAAGGCCACAACACAGCAGCGGCAAACAACTAACTGTGTGATTGCCAGGGTACCACTAGACAAGAGTAACTGCACAAGAAGGACTTTTTCTTTCCCCTCCTTCCTTCATTTCTACCACAGTCTCAGCGCAAAATCCCACCACATCCAAAGCAGGCCCACCATAAAGGAAAGGTTTCCCCATTAAGACTGCTGGTGTCCTGCAGTAGCACTGCTCACCTCTGTGGACTTGACCTCCCTCTTGCTGTCAGCATATGTATGTCCTTTAAATGTCTACTGGTCAATGCTCTCATGCAGCCCATTTACAGAGAAAGCCAGTAAGACTTAGATACCTCCCTGAGATAACTCCTGGGACTATCACACGACCTAGCCCTGAGCATTGTCCTAATCCCCTCTATAAACCACAGTCATGGGAATGACTATTCTCACCCTACAAACTGAATCCCTGACCCTTCAAAAAGCTATATGCTAGGGATTCCCCATACCCGCACTGAATGTACTGTGGGATTAGACTCTAAGCTTTGTGCAAGGCATTGTAAAACATGAGGTCTATAAATTTAAGAAGCTTTAGATGACTTGAGCCTGGAACAAGGACCTAAAGAAAAATAACAAAATGGACACTGTTAAGGTACAAGGCAATAATTTTTCATGTTACTCTTGTTCTAAATAACTGAAATGATAAACTCCGGAATAATTTTAAACATGTAATTGGCTTTACAGGGGCTGGCTGCTGCTTTTTTGGACTTGGCTGAGAAACACAGGCACTTTCAACTTCTGCTTGCAGGCCCTTGCATCACCCTCAAAGGCCTAAAAGTCTCCTTAAAAGCATTCAAAAAGGCAGAGTTCAGACCACACGCAGGCTGCCAGGAACCTGCATCTGTTGTTGCGTTTGGGACCACTTTACAACCTGTGAAGAGACAGCTATGGGATTTTATTTTATTATCTTTTTTGAATTAGAAATACTGTATCTTATGCTTGACCTACTTAGCATCTCTTTTGATCAGGAAATTCTCCCAAGAAAACAAAAGTAAAAGCAGGATTTGAAAATTACCTGAAGTGTCGTTGGATCACTGCGCTGCTTAGATGGGTTAAGGATAAACCCAATTGTCTATTCAAGAGAGCCATTTGGATTCTGGTAACACACCCTGTGTAAGAAACAAGAGAATCATGAACAGTGGAAATTGGACAAAATCTGTTTCACTTCCTTTTCCTTATGTGAATCACACACTAGAATCTCAGCACCTCTTTAGATGCTGCAATCCATAGCACACAGAGAGCTAACAGCATCCGCAGCACGATACAAAGCAGATCAAGAACCTCTGTCTGAATTCAGCAGACAGTATAATTCAGAAGTGTATACTATAAAGCTGGATTCAGTATCACTGCACTGCAGTTTCCTGTGCACAGAGGTAAGGGGCCTTCTGCATGCACCATGAACCATGTAACAACAGCAGGCTTGAGAATTTTGGATGTGACCCAATTTAGAGGCCACAGTGACCAGTAAAAGCTACCATAGTTACTTATAAAAGCTACCAAAGTTACCTATAAAACCAAGCAAAAAGCCAGAGGTACTCTGTAGACTGTCATCAGAGCTTCAGGAAACAATTTGCCACACAAGAAGCAAGACAAAGCTCCACTGGTGAGGCCATGCTCCCTCTTAGCATGTACGAGGTGTTCAGCAGCCTGTGTTTTAGAGACCAGACTCACAGATCTGCCCATCTCGCCCTGTTAAGGCTGCCCAGATAAAAGTTACCTGCAACTTCATGGTGATCGCTCAACCCAAACTGAAATACCACCCTGACTGCAGCAGAGCTGGGCTACCAGAGTAGCCTCTGAGTGAGTTCACCACACCCTCTTCCCTGACTGTTATCTATGGCAATTCCCTAACCTCATTCTGTCAGACTGATGGGGACCAGCTTGCACACGCAATCGCAAAGTCTTATCTGAACCTGGATCATGTTGCCAGACATCGGTTAGGCAGAGATGACCCAGGCAGCTACGCTGGCAGACCCCAATGAAGGGTGAAAACACCACAGACCTATAGCCAGTCCTCTTTCAGGCCAGTTCAAGTAGAGCTAAGACTTTCCATCTGACTGAAACTACTGCTGTGTGACACTGCTTGCTTAGACCTTGGCAGTGTAACCAAGACAAGCTCCGCTTCTCTCCTTTCTAAAGTAAACATGAAAAATACATTGACCTCTTATCTCCCTTCACCAGTTCTGATGAGCTTAGGGCCAAACAGTAGCAGTACCTTGTAAAGCCCTTTTCTTAACTTTTATTTTAAAAACAAAGCTGACGTAACTTCTCTAGGGAGAAAAAAAATAACCCACAGAGCCTTCTGACAAGTGATGCCACAGCTGTTCTTATTACAACCAAGTAAAGACAAGGCAAAATTTTCACTCTCTCTTTATTGTTTTTATTTTTCCCCAGTGTGTTTGCTTACTTGGGGATGTATTTAATTTTTAGCGTTTGTGGTTGTCCTATGGAGCAAGCGTTACCTGACAGGAAGAGGAGAGGCACTAGAGAAGCACATCACAGCAACTTTGCAGCAGCGCTCCCTGAGCAAAGCACACAATAGATTGCAAACCTTCTCATACAGGCAGGTTTTGAAGAGACCATCAGCAGCTGAAGCTTACATTTATTTGCTAAACAAAGCCACTTTTCAGTGGGGTAGAAGATCTCCAAACGAGTTCAGAGATTCTCTTCAGAGCTCACCTGCACTGTCCCCTCTCTGAAATGAGACCCCAAGAAGGCTGTGTTTTTGCCACAGCTCCTTACCTAGCTGCATGATCCTAATGAAAACAAGGCCCTGCAGTATTTATAGCACTGCTGGCAATCAAGGTCTGACTACCTGGGCCTTGAGGCTGCCAGGATTTCTAAGCAAGTTCAACTACGTTGCCCTGCTGTACGCCCACACTCCGCGTTGGCAGGGAAGACGGCCCATGTCCCGTTCTGCGTTTGGGTGTACTGTTTCCCCACGTGAAACTCAAACCCGATGGGTAACACAGCTCCTACTTCCTCCAGAATTGCACCGAGGCTTTGAATCCCTTTAGAAAAACCAAACAAGCAGCAGCAGCAAGCTGGCCTCCCTGTTGTCTCTGATGGACACTCCTTGGGGATCCCAGCTGCCATGCCACCCCGCCTCTATTGCCCTGGTGGGCACGGCGGCCCCGGTGGCAGGAGAGGATGGGCCTGCTCAGCCTCACTGCCACATAAGACCGATAGGTCTGCTGGCTCATGGCAGGGCAGGCACAGGCACACGCTCTGCCCGCTGTCAGGCAGACAGCAACATGAGCACCAGCACAGCTAGAGGTGTGCAAGGTCGCATGTCAGAGTCCTAAAGCCTAAAGCCTAAAAGCCTAAACCTGAACTTACTGCCCGCTCCTGGGAGAAGTCACCATTTGTTTCTACCCTGTGGCAGCAGTGAAGGTTTGAAGTTACAAAACTACCGCAGAAGCATCAACGGCATTAAGTGTCCAAGGACTGTTTATTTTTTCAGATGACTCAGTACCCCCTTCCTTGCTGAGAATTATTCCTTGGCACATTAGGATGTGTCACAAGCTAAGAAATTTTTTATGATTGATTATTTGGTATGAAGCACCCTTCTTAGTTAGAATGTTAGGAACTGAGTAAACAGGGGGGATGCTTCCAATTAGCAGGAAGGTTCAGGGTGGAGGGAAGAGAAAAATGCATCTCTGGCATGGAGTAGAGCATACAAGGGTGCAAGTGGGTTCACAAAGAGTGAATCACAACTTCAGCTATCGTAACATGCCAGCTTCCCTTCTAGAAACAACAGCCAATAGTCTGGGTCTGTTTCCAGTGCCAGACTCAGTCCCGGCTTGCTCCCTCTGCGGCTGTGAACAGCGCATTTGATCTCCTCTGCGCTCTGTGGAGCAGCTATTCGCTAAACTAAAACTAAACTTCGAAGGGCACACAAGTAATTCGCTCTGTCACACTCTGTGCTGCCACACGAATGGTCCGAGTTGGTGCCAAAGCTGAAGAGCTGCTATAAAGCAATGAAAGCCATTGGCCCCAGCGCACCCAGCACCTCTCTCCTTCCCAGCACGGATGTTGCCTCACAGCAGCAGGCCTTAAAAACGCTCAGAGGAGGCTGCACTTAGCACAGGCACAAGGAACGCACGTGACCTGCGTTTGCTTCTGAAGGTGGCTCTCCCAGGGTTGCCTCCGATCAGGCTTCAGTACTCAGAGGTGTATGGGAAGACTACCCTCACAGCCCTCAAGCACAGGAAAATTTGCAGGAATTCCCAAAAGTGTGCTCTTGGTACTGCCCAACTGATACAGGAGTGCAGTCTACAATACCTGGATGGGCAAAACACCACCGCTGCTTAATACTTAGCCACTAATACACACCTGACCAAGGAATTATCTTGGAAGAGACTTTGGAGGTCATCTAGTGCAATGTCCTGCTCAAGCAGGATTAATTTCCCAGTTGTTCATGCTAGGCAAGAGCAGTATTTAAATGGACACTACCCTAAAGTGAAAGGCCCAACACGAAGACAGCTATTGATATATGTTGGCCATGCATAGCTGCACCAAAGCAGCGATAAAGAACTGTGCAGAGCAACCTCTCTCCCAGTTCCTACCCTGCTGCTCCTAAATTCTAGCAGTGGCTTTATCTCCTGGTTAGAGAGACTAACTTCTTAAAACCAGAATCACAGAGACGCTTTGCTTCTCTCCATTCCACATATCTGTTCAAAGTTAACACAGACCTCAGACTGAGTTCAGAGTAAGATTCACAAATGGTGAAGGAGTCTGTTAATCAAATATTTGCTGAAATGATCCAATTTCTACTTCAGTGAATAAGTCTAAGCATGCAATAAGCCACTGCAGCAAACACTGCGTTCTCGAGGGCCCTTCAGCCATACCCCATGCAGTACAATAGACCAACATCAAATTCCGACACCACACAAAAAAGGAACTCTTCACCAGTTATAAACTTCTGGAAGTTACTTACCCACTGCACCATTTTCAAGTGCCATACTAAAGCTACCACCTTCACTATTTTCCCTTGAGCTTAAAGAACTAACTTATATTTACTGCAGCCTTGAGTGGTTTTTGAATGGAGGAGTTCCAGAAAATTTCATCCCAGCTAACAAAAGCAGGCCGCGTACAATATTTCCGTCAAACGCATGCAAACGCACAAGCAGACCACCTCAGGGAGCTGATAGAAAGCAAGGACATCTTCCAGATAAGGAAGACAGGGTTACACACCCACTTTGAACCAATGTCAGGGCACACAGTACCAAGAACAGAAGCCCAGTGTCACCCCAATACACATTTCCATCACCTCCCTTATGCTGGCTCTAGCATTCATGTAAATTAGCCACAGTTTTCAGCTAGATCAATTCCCTAATCCAACTCATCCTGCGGCCACATGAATGCTGGAATGTGGCAAAACACAAGACTGGGACTTCTCCTCTCACTGCCAACCCAGACTTGCATTGTGATAGTATCTCCGGAGAAACGCCGGGAGATTTGGACAAGTACAGGATCTCTTTCATTTCAGCAAAAATACTTATGTGCTTCACAAGAATGGTCTGTATGAATCTGCACTATTAGCACGGCCATGGGAGCACTAAAAAGGTCTGTATCTGAACACTCAAGAGGCCACTGCAATGGCTCTGACCGAATTTTTAATCAGTGGTGCATATCCTAAAAACCAGTCAAGGTGCTGTTCTTACCCTGCCTGCATCCTAGAGTAAACATACATGTAAATAGTGCTGCTACCTAGCAATCCAGTATTACCTTCCTTTTTAAACACAGGTTTTGGAAATGACATCTGCTCCCTATATTCCCAAGATCTGTAGTTCCACAACCATTCAGCTATTTCTTTTCCTTCTTTCTGCTAGTAATTCACCCACACAAACAGGCCCCAGGGAACACCAATGGATGTGGCAAAGCAAATGCTGAGGTCTACTACCCAAAGCCTATACAAAATAAACCAGGGAAAAATGTTCTTCACTTTAATAGTAGTAACCTGATCTGTACAGTCAAACAGTGGGGGCCAACATCCCCTTTATTCTTCCAAGAGACCACAATAGACACACTCCAGGCACCACAAAGATTTGAACTGCATCTGTCATCCATCATTAAAATGCAGGAAATAAATCCAAGACAAT